ACGGCGTGTCAACGTTGCAAGTGGACGACGTGCCAACGTTGCTCCCGCAGTACAGCAGCGCACCTGCTTTGCAGGTGCTCGCATATGATTGGCGTGCAGTGCCTTGTCACCTGCAGTGCACACACGCGATCAACCTCATGCTGACGACTGCACCTGACCAGCCACGTCGACCTCGGGATACCACCACCGAGGTCGGTCTCATTTAAAACCACCTGGGCGACCGTCGCGTGCCTCCGCAGAAACCCGTCACCCCGGTAACCTGGTCGACCGAGCAACCCCCACGTCGACCAGCTCCTCTTTGTGCCCGTCGACCACCCAGGTCGACGACCACCACCGGTCGACCAGCTCCAGGTGGACCAGGCACTTGGTCGACCAGCCCCAGGTCGACCAGCACAGCCGTCAGCCGACCACCCAAGTCGGCTTCCCCAAGTCGGCGTCACCAGGTCGACACCCCCGAGGTCGACCTCGCCAGGTCGACCACTTGAACTCGGCGCCCTCCAGCTCCCCTGTCCAGGTCGACGTCGGTGCCCCCTTCGTCGACCACCCGGTCAGGTCGGCCGCCGGCTCCCCGTCGTCGGCGGCGTGAGCAGTGGCAGTGTGCAGGTCGGCCAACCCATCGACCTGCACGCCGAACTCGGCGTCGTCCACTGCAGCTGCTCGGCTGCACTTCCCGTGCACCCGACTACGTAGTCGGCTCCGCCCAAGTGAGGACGGGGCCAACAACAACTCCCGTTGACACTCCCCTGCCGTGTTCACGCTTCGGCCCCCAGCGCACACGGCAGAAACACTCGGAGAATAGCTCGTCGGCGTGCACACAACACACAGCACGCCAGTCACCGCACCAGCCATGCAGAAGAGGGCATGGCACCTACTACTACACGTCGTTGTCGCCGTCGCCCACGTCGGCCAAGCGCACTTGGCCGATTGCGACGGAGCACCGGTTGAAGGCCGGATAGTGCAGTGCCTTCGTCAGGAAGTCAGTCGGCTGCTCAGTGGTCGGGATGTACTTCAGCGTGAACTTCCCGCGCTTCACCATGTGCTGCAGCCAGGCTTGTCGCCGCTCCATGTGCTTGAGGCTGCCCGTCAACCCCATGCCCTTGGCGACCGTGATGGCCGACTTGTTGTCCACCCGAAGGACGGTCGGCGTCCCGGCGTCCAGCTGTCGGAACTCTGCAAGAAGGAAGCGAAGGCGGCATCCCTCCTTGCCGGCTTCTGTGGCCGCCAGATAATCCGACTCGGTCGACGACAGCGTTGCGCACTTGATGTGCTGGCTCGACCAGGAGATCGTGGCCCCTCCGTAGACGTACACGTAGCCGCCCGTGATCCTCCGGTTCTGCTTGTCGCCGGCGTCGTCGGCGTCCACGTAGCCGACCAGCTTCAGCGACTCAGGTCCATCGCCGAACTCCAGGGCAGTGTCGCGCGTGTTGGCGAGGTAGGCGAGGCAGCGGTCGACCTCGCGCCAATGCTGGTCGCTCCTCACCGTGAGGCCGCTCCCCATCTTGCTGCAGGCGAAGGCGATGTCCGGCCTCATCGTCGTCGCCGCGAACTGCAGCGAGCCGACCTTCTGCCGGTACTCCTCCTCCTGGCGCTCGTGTGCCTCCTCCTCGTCGAACGTCAGCTAGGCGTAGGCGTCGACGGAGACCGGCGTCTTCGGGGTTCGCCCGGTCTGCTCCTCGTCGAGGAACCGCCTACGCAGCTTATCGGCGTAGCCCTGCTGGTGAAGCCACATATATAGGAGATATAGTCAGATGCAAGAGTACAAGATAAAGCATCTCTACGCAACCAAGTGAGGGCCTGTAGACACAAGGCCAAGCTGGGTGCAAAAACGCTGGTGGTCACAAGGCGGCAACTCTTTGGTGAAGACATCTGCAGTGTTGGCCTCGGAGACCACACGTCGCACGAGTGCCTGGCCACGCTGCTGCAACTCTCGTAGAAGGAAGTAACGAAGCTGGATGTGCTTCGCCTTCCCAACCAGTCGGGGCTCCTCGCACAACAGGATAGCAGACTGTTGTCGGCGAACAAGACTGGGGGAGAACGAGGCCGCTCACCAAGGTCGGTGAGGACGAAAGACAGCTAGCGAAGCTTCTAGGCAGCATGGCCGCAGCGTACACCTCTGCCTCACAGCTGGAACTAGAGACGGACGACGCTCGAGTCAACCTCCACGAAACAGATCCGGTCCCAAGGCTGAAGTAGTAACCCTATGGAGACCGCAGCGACTCAGCATCGTCGGCCCAAGGCGAGTCCGAGAAACCTGTAAGCGTAACTGGCTGCTTCCCTCCAAGGACAAGTCCCATGCCTGATGTACTCGCCACATACTTCGCCACCCTCTTAGCAGCGTACCAGTGGGAAGGTCGGTGTCTCCCAGGCGCAACAAAGCACGCAAGGACGCTAAGAGGGTAAGCTAGGTCAGGACGAGTACAGGTCATCGGGTACATGAGACAACCCACCAGCTCAGGATATGGACCGCTGGGCTCAAATGGCTCGTCCGAAGGTGGAGCCGTGAGCCCATGATCCACAGCAAGAGGGGTGGGCTGTACCTTGGAGAACGGGAAGCAAAACCGCGTGAGGATCTGCTCGACCATATGCGACTGCGTCAGCGTAATGGTGCGAGCTGCCCTGTCCCTGGTGATCTGCAGGCCAAGGTAGCGCTGCAGCTCACCAAAGTCAGTGCAAGTGTGTCTCCTCTGCAGTTCCTCCTTCACAGAGGCCAATGCGCGTCGACCGGGAGTGGCGAAGACTAGGTCGTCAACGTAGACCAGAACAAAGAACGGGGTCGAGCCACGGCGGACGAAAAGCGACAGGTGCCGCTTGCAAGAAGTTAAGCGCTGCAAGAGTCGTACGTAGCGTGTCGTGCCACGCGGGGAGCCCGGCGCAGGCTGTAGACCGGTCGACGCAGCTGCCACTGGGTCCCGGGAGGGAAAGTGAGAGTGAAGCCAGGCGGACGAGGCAGCCAGATATGCTCGTGCAGGCTCCCTTTAAGGAACGCGGTGGAGAAGTCCAAGGAATGCAACTTGTAGTCGCGCTGTGCTGCAATATCCAGCAACACCTGAAGAGTGGTCATCTTCGGGGTTGGAGCGAAGGTCTGAAAGAAGTCCACCCCCTCTCGCTGACTGAAGGCTCTCGCCACATAGCGCACCTTGAACACCGGTGGTGTTCCAGGCGGCCGCTTCACCTTGTAGAGGCACATGCCACTGACAACGTTCGTCCCAGGTGGTGGGACGGCATCGACGTAGGTGCCTGTGGACCTAAAAGATGCCATCTCTGCCTCTTTAGCTGCTATCCAATACGAAGCCCAAGGTCCCAAAACCGCCTCAGCGTGAGTGCGAGGGATCGGGATGTCAAGGGCGTCGGGATCCCCCTCAGGGGCAAGTAGTATGGCGCAGAGATGAGGAACAGCGGCCGCAAGGAAACCAAGCTCAAACTGCCTGTCATCTAGGACCTCCAAGGGAAAGTCAGGAGCACCCTTAGAGGACGGAGAACGAGCAGTGCCACTCACGAGGTGAGCGGCGTAGTCAAGGCAGTGGGAAGAGGCAAAGGCACTGAAAGTAGTGACAAGGGCCGAGACAGATAGCGGAGGGGCAGTCGGGTGAGTGACTAACGCGGATAGAATACGGGAGACGATGGCTGCTGCCCCTCGCCCGTGCTTCATTCACACCTGCACATTGAACACAGCACTTGCCCGTGCTTCTTTCACACCTCCTCACTCGCTCACATTCTGTTTGCTCCCCAACTACCGTCTGTCCACTTCACCAGTGTCTTTCATCCTCTCTCTTGCACGCGTGCCTCTCTCTCTTCCATCCTCACTTCTCCTCAGCGCTCTCATGAGTCTCAACCTGACTGCTGGAGATCTCCCTTCCTCTCTCTCTGCGCTTACTTCACTCAAGCACCTGTAAGTCTCTCGAGTATCTTCCTTCCTCCTCCTTAAGCGAGTGCTTGGTATAGTTTTTATCTCATGTTTTTTATGCTTTGTGTTGGCAATCACCAAAGCGCAACCATGGTGCTGGTGTGGCATCATCTTTCACTTGCTCCTGGTTAGCCTTGGGTATGTGCTTGCTCGTTGCGCACGTTGCATTGCATCTCATCGCTGTATGCTCATGAAAAAATCACAATCAGCAGCAACGAATTTCTTTCCTGCTTACGTAAGTCGAAATAGGAGCGAGCGAGCACGTTTCTCTTTCAAGGTCCCATAGCTCTAATTATGGAACCATTAAGACATTCTCATGGTTGATCCGGCAGGGGTCAGCAGGAGCTTGGGGGTGCGCTCACCATCTCTTCTCTCCCTTCTTTCCTGTATTGCATTGCAGTGACCTAAGTTTCCTTCCCATCACCCGCTTTCCGCAATGGATTGCTTCACTCGCTAAGCTCACTCATTTGTGAGTGGAACCAAGAGCCTCTCGCCCCACCCCGCCCTGACTATCATCACCGCTTCCTGTTGCACCTTGCACGTGCTTCACTTTGGATACAAGAGGCCAGTGCACGTCCGCTCTGTGGGTTCCACCTCCTCTCTCTCCCTGCACCACCTGTGATTCGCTACAGCCTTGCCATGCCACTTGCGCTCTCACTCTCTGCTTCCGTAGCTTGCTGCTGGAGCGATGCCATGAAACCGGCTCAAGCTCGCTCCCTGACGGGTCTGTGCTGCGTTGAATCGAGGGTGTTTGACGGCGTTCCTTGTGCTGCCCTGCGCCATGCTGCCCTGCACCATTCTGCCCTGCATTGGTCCACATGTGGTTAGGGGGATGAACGATGGTTAGGGGGATTGCTCAATGGCTAGAGGGGTGGAACATTGGCTAGAAAGAGAGATTCAGATGTACGCTAATGCCACTTGCAATGCTCCCCCTGCCGTGCCTCTCCACCAACAGGAGTGCCCCGTGACTCCTCTACCTTCCTGCCCTTGTCTGCCCTGCAGAGACGTCACCGGAAAGTTACACGTCCACCGCTCTGCACCTTTCCCTACCAAATGGATTGCTCTCACAAGGCTGGAAACACACCAGCCATCCGCTATGTCCACAACACACCAGCTTGGTTTGACACCTGCTGCTGCTCGCCTCACCATCCAAAGCCATCCGTTCCTTATATTTCCCACCAAGATGCACTCGTTCCAACTCTCCTCTGCCCGTCCATCTGCACATTGCCTGATGGGCCACTCCGCTCAGCCCAGCTCTGTTGCCCTCCAGCTGCCAATGCATGCGCCCCTCCCCTCCTCTCGCCCCTCAACTTGCACCTCCAGGCGGGCCGGTCTGAATGGCTTCACTGGCTCTATCCCCTCCACCATCTCTGCCCTCACCGCCCTCAACATCTTGTACGCCTCCCCTTCCCATCCTCTCTCCTCTTCCTTCCTCTCTCCCTTTCCCATCTCCTCTCCTCTTCCTTCCTCTCTCCCCTTCCCATCCTCTCTCTCCTTCCCATCCTCTCTCCCCTTCCCATCCTCTCTCTCTCCTTCCCATCCTCTCTCCCCTTCCCATCCTCTCTCTCTCCTTCCCATCCTCTCTCCCCTTCCCATCCTCTCTCTAATTCCTATCCTCCTTCCCTTTCCCATCCTCTCTCCAATTCCTATCCTCTCTCCCTTTCCCATCCTCTCCCCCCTTCCCATCCCCTCTCCCCTTCCCATCCTCTCTCCAATTCCTATCCTCTCTCCCCTTCCCATCCTCTCTCCCCTTCCCATCCTCTCTCCCCTTCCCATCCTCTCCCCCCTTCCTCTCTCCCCTCACTTCCTCTCTCCCCTTCCTTCCTCTCTCCCCTTCCCTCCTCTCTCCCCTTCCTTCCTCTCCCCCCTTCCTTCCTCTCCTTCCCCGTCCTTCCATGGGAACCCCATTAGAAATGCAGTGGTCGTAGAAATAAGGAAGGGTATACATACCGCCAAAGCACCAGGTTGTGAGCACCAGGTTGCGAGCACCAGGTTGTGAGCACCAGGTTGCGAGCACCAAGGTGTTACATCCAGCTGAATAATGGATTCGAAATAAAGCTCTTGCACAGGCAGTTCATTCCGTGATCACGGTTCATCCAGTGATTGCAATTCACCCAGTTAAAGCGGTTCGTCTGGTGAAAGCGGTTCTTTCTGTGAAAACACGTCTTCCCGTAAAAGCGGTTTACTCAGTGAGAGTAGATGTTCCTGTGGCCATCCCCCCTCCTCCCTCCCCTCCTCGCCATGGCCCCACCAGGGACCTCTACGGGAACAACATCTCAGGGAGCATTCCTGTTGGCATCAGCGAGCTACCTATGTTGGGTGCCCTGTAAGCCCCTCACATCACATCACATCACATCACATCTCCCCCTTTGATTCCCACACAGGTTGCTCGGCTTTAACAATCTCACCGGCGCCATTCCTGACATCCCTCGCACTCTTTCACTTGTGAGTCTCCTAGGCCCGCCACGCCTGGCATGAGCTCACGCATGGCGTGGTTTGGATTGCAACACACCTCTATGTGGCACACTTGCATTGCATGCTGAGTCTCAACTACACCAAATAGATTGAGGTGCTGGAGGCTCTTGGGCAGTCTCTCTCTCACCATGCTTTCTCATCTCCGTGTGGCAACTTCAAGCAGACGCCCCTTGAGATCCGCCTATTGTTACCTCAGCAATGCATAAACGCCCTTCTGATTAAGCATGTAATCGTTAGGTTGCGTTGCGTTGCGCTGCGTTCCCAACAGCCCAAGATTGGCATTCTGCCGTACTATCGTGCTTCCATATTTTCTAAAGCTTCTGATATTCCACCGAGGCTGCACTCGGGCATGACATTGCCGTATGTTTCACAGCCCTGACTCATGTTCCTCCAGTGCAAGAGCTCTGAACCACATCGCACACTCCCCTGGAGTTTGGCAAAGAAGCATTCTCGCCCCTATCTCACCGTGCATGCCTTCACATCTCCTCCACATCCCCTCCCCTCCACATCCCCTCCCCTGCACGTCCCCTCCCCTCCACATCCCCTCCCCTGCACGTCCCCTCCCCTCCACATCCGCTCCCCTCCACGTCCCCTCCCCTCCACGTCCCCTCCCCTCCACATCCGCTCCCCTCCACATCCCCTTGCCTCTGCCTGCCCTCACTGCGTGCAGAGACCTCTCCCACAATCAGCTCACCTCCATGCCTTCTACCCTCAATTGGGGGGGGCATTTGTAAGTCTTGGGTGATTGACATCGCATTGTTCTATCTTTTGTGTCATGTTTTTTATGCCTTGTTCCAGAGTCGAAGAACATTAGCCTGAGCCACCTCCTCCCTCAGCCTTATCATTCCATGCCTTGTCTTGCCATGCCGTGCCTTGTCTTGCTATGCCGTGCCTTGTCTTGCCATGCTGTGCCGTCCCATGCTTTGCCGTGCCATGCTGTGCCATGCCACATTACCCCTTTTAGCATGGAAGAGAGCCGAGCATGCAAGCGGGATGGCATGCTCCTGGCTATGGGATGGTGCAGGCGGCATGGAAACGGAGGTGGAAGTTTATGCGGCATGCAGTGCACATGAATCATGTGCCTTGCATCATGCCATGGCCCTTGGGTCACTAAATGCTCACTCCTCACTACAGCGATTCCCTTCTGGGACATTCAGTGCATGCATGTTACCATCATCTCACTCCCTTCCACCATCGCCCATTCAACCTCTCCAGTTCCATGGCTCACAACCAGCTTCAAGGTCCCCTTCCTTCTGCCCTCCTTACCACCGATTTCCTTACTCTGTAAGCGGACCTTGAAGTTGCTTGGTCCCGGTATGGAAGGAACGAGGGAGGCAAGGGCGTGTGCTCAAGTTGTCTCTTGATTGATTTCCATCAGAACGATAGCGATGCAGATTATGTATGTGCAATCGTAAACATTCCCTTTCATACACACTGCTGGTCATCCCCTCATCCCCATCCCATGCAACCCATGCCTCCACACAATGAGCTGCAAGGCAATGCATTCTCTGGCTCGCTACCTAACTTTGCTTTGTGGAAATACCCTTACCTTGAAATACTGTGAGCTCACTGCCTTGTTCTTATCCTTCTCAACCGATGCTCATCTATGTCAGCCCTTCATGTGCCCTTTGGATTTCCTTCATGTTTACTCCCCCATTTTCACAAAGACAGATCTGATCTAGCAGCCACGAGCCACATCTGAACTAGCAGCCACATACCTAGCATCGCATAGTTCTGAGTGGCTGGAAGTCACTAGAATATTTAGCGAAGTTACACTTTCCCTTGGATCCTCATTCCCCTCGCCTGCGCCCATCCACCATGTCCCCTCTTTACCCTTCCCACAACCGCCCACCACCACCATGCCCCACTCAATCCCCAGCGACGTCAGCGACAACCAGCTCAGTGGCTCCCTCCCTGACTCCATCACCCGCCTTACATCGCTGTGGAAACTGTGAGCCTTGCATTGCTCTACCGACTGTGAGCCTTGCTCCATCTCTCTTTGAGAATAAGGAAGCGGTGCTGTTGAGGGGATGTTTGAGGAAGCACAAACGCTACCTTGAGAAACACCTTGTCTGGGCCCAGCACCTCTGACAGCATTAGCCGAGGTAGCACTTTTTTCTGCATTCCACCATGTGAAATTCACTAAGGATCACTGCAGACATTGTTGCAAACAGCTGATGCACTCTGGTTGCTGGCATACACGTGTGGCATGGCATGGCATGGCATGGCATGGCACGGCAGGGGGCTTGGAGGCAACAATCTGAGTGGTGTCATACCTGCTAGCCTGGGCGGACTTACCGATCTATCATACCTGTGAGTAGCACAACCATTCCCCATCCACCACAAGCCTAAGGTGACTGCTCTCCTCGCCCTGCTCTTACAACTTCCATCCTTCCTGCCAGGGTCTCACTATCACTTGCATCGGGAATCCTCCTATTTTTCCCCCCCTGGATTCGAACTCAATGGCAGTATAGTAGTGTTGAGTTGGCTGGCCTCTTTTCTCCTATCACTCATCTGTGCCACATGCTTCACAAGCCCAAACTGCCTCTCACGTAGAGTTCTAGATTCAGTTTTGTATGTAAGCCAGTAACCATTTAACTCCGCATTCACATGGCAATCGGTATTGGACCGAATGCTCACAGCAATACCTCAAACTAGCCTAGTAATTGCATGTATTTTCTTATTGCACTCTAGTTTCAAGTCAATTTCTGCCCATGAGTGTGATTTTTTTCCTCAATTCTCCAATCCTTCTCATCCAACACTCACCCCCAGGAACGTGTCAGGCACGGGGCTGACCTGCCCTGCAAACGGCAGCAAGTGCCTGGTGAAGCAGAGCAACACCACTGGCTTCTGCCGCCTCTGCTTCTCCTTCTGCTCCTCCTGCACCCCCCTTGCTTGTAAGTCTCCATGCTGCAGTGGCTGCCCACACACACACACACGCATAAGAACGATGCCACACCGGCTCCAATCAAACTTTCCAACAACGGCTGGTTGGTGGAATAGGTGTGCTTTACAGAGTCTGATTTAATGTTCCAATCTATGTCTGTGCCCACATCCCAGTGTCGGCGCCCGCAGAGGATCCAGCATGGCCAGCACCGGTGACTGACGCACCAATGTGGGTCACAAAGGAAACAGCATGGCCATCACCGCAGGCACGATCGGCATCCGGACCTCGCACGCGCATTGATGCTTCCATTGACCACTCTACTGCTGCTGCTGTTGCCGCCATCTTGCTCCTGGTGTTCGGGATGTGAAGCGTAGAGTTTTGACGTGGCGGTTCCGTATCGATAGTTGTGGGTGGGTGGACTTGGGGTAATGAGACCCCAAGTCTGGAATAGTATACTCGGGGTGATCTTCAAATATACCGTATGTGTTGAGAGATTGCAGTAATCCATTAGTATGCTAGTGAAGGTCTGGATTTTGTGGCTACTTTTCAGCTTGCGCCTGGAATATATTTGTTGTGAGTCGGAGATTTACATGCTAATCACGTTTAGTGTCAAGTCAATGCACATGTATATGGTAAACCTCCGTATATAAGACCAAAGGGTCTTATGATAATCAAACCTCAAAAATCTGGGGGGACGTTTACGTTCCTCCGTAGATGGATGGCGTCCGTCAGATTGCTGAAACTACTGTATTACCGTAGATGCAGGAGGAAGAGATTGCAAGGAATCATTACGTGTGAATGACTAGGCACATTCATGGATACTCCTAAGTACTCAAAAATCATTTTCAATTCACAAATTTTTCTAGGCGGCAAAAAAATAACCTCAATGGAAAATTAGAGTGAGAGTGAATTCAAGGAAGCAATGTTAGGAGAATTTCTTAGGCATCTAAAAAAACATTGTTTAGGTCAGGGCTTACGTTTCAAAAAACGCCTCCCTGATTCTGACCAACATTTTTTTTTTTTTTTTTTTTTTTTTTTAGTCTGACGGCACTTCGGCCGCATAATGGCTAGTCTGAGCCTGTTGAAAAACATCTGTGTCCAAAAAAACGCAACTATGGGCCTTCAGAATCAGGGAAATGAGATCAGAGTCGCGTTAATATCTTTTTCTTCCCTCTTTTTCGTTTTGTTGGCGAAGAGAAATTATATTTTTCCGAAAGTGTGCAAGACTTTCCAAAAATGTGCGTTGTGAAAGCGCAGCTGCCTGTAACAAAGCAAAGCAACGGCGAATTGTAATTCGGCCAAGTACATAACGACGGTTGGAGGCCATTCGGCCTCCACCCACGACTTCATTTCGGAACTTAGCAGTTCCAGTCCCCACCCACCCACCCTAGTTGTATATTCGTGTAATCCATAGTTGGACAAGACTGTTGAATTACTACAACTGTAATGAAGCCCGTTGCCTTTGCAAGAACTGAAAGCAAGCTTTCTCAATGGCACAAGAAGGAATGTTGCAAGAGGCATATGCACGTGGCCCGACTAGGCGCGACCTTGCAAGTGGCAACTCGGCAAGCTGCCACACAAATGAGCTGGCAACATCACGTACAGTAACTTGTTCAATAGCATAAATTTTCACCTAGCAATCAGTAACAACTCCTTTTGACGCGCTAGGGCAGAGAAAAACTCAATTTCAGCACCAAGAAGTGCGATATTTTACTTGTGGTGATATATCCTCTCACACCAATTCACAGTGCAGTTCACTGATTGGTTTAGCGATACGCTAAAATTCGTTTCTTTGGCTCCTTTCAGTTTCACAACTCAACGGTTGCCCTAAGCTTACAACTAATTACCCTTTGTGATATTGGCGCAAAGTGAGTGTACTAAGGTGGCCTAGCTTGTGCAGTGTGCTTTGCTCAGGTGGTGGCACTCGCTGCCACCTCGGAGGTGGGTATATCGAAAGGAAATTTCAGGGAATCGCCTTCCCAATAAACTTGGGCCCTGTTCAGTTGGCGCATTAGGGATTCTCAGCCCTAACGATGAAAATTCTCGAAACGCGCATATCAAGGCTTAAAGCCCATCTCGAGCCTCCCAAATTGTTACTGTCTCCTGAACCTCTGGTGCGGGAGTTGTGCGCGCATTACTCATGCATGCGCAATAATGTTGATCTCTCTGAGCGCTGAGAAAAATCCACGAGCTTGGTTCCACAGGCAAATTTCCAGCATGGCCTGTGCGAGCCCTATGCGCTTGTCGAGGGGGAAATGAAGAGGCGCACAACCATTAACCGGCAGATCTCAACGCTCGTTTCTGGGTATTTCTTCGTGTTTCGTCTAAGTACTATGCGGAAGCGATTAACTTAGATCCACAAACATGAACGAGGCAACACCTAACGTCACTTGTGACCCCCCGAGTATGACATCATGTCACCTCATAGCCAAGGGTTTGGAAAAACCAAGTGAGTAGTTATGCCAAGCTCAACTTGCAGCATGAGAGTTCTGATTGAGCAGCGTTTCGGCAGCACCACGTTGAGTTTCTACTCTCGTCAATACGTAGTAGTAGAGTGTAAACTTAAAATCACAGAAGCATTGTTAGATTGAAAGCAAATACAAGCACACAAATATGAGAGGTCCTAGGCACATAAAGGAAACACACAAGGCAGTTGTCCAACTGTCGTCCAGGTCTTCGCTTTGCTGTCATTGAAAAACGGTTGTAAAACTGCTTCAGAATTTGGCTTGATTTTCCTCTGTAGAATAACTGTCTTCAACCTGCACTGCTGCCAAATTCTCCTGCTGACTCTCCTCACGAACATTCATGTTTACTCGTGTGCGATCATGAGCGCTCGTGTGAGATTCCCGTTTTTCAGTTACACCTTGCCCTCGGCAATCACACCCCCACCAAGGGGGTCGATCTTGTCGGTAGCGGAGGGGGGGTGAAATTGGCCACAACATTTTTGTAGGGAGGTTTGTAGGGGGTGCCCCCGTGCAGCACCCAACCTCCCTGACCCTCGTAGCGACAAGGGGGGGGTGAAATTGCCCCTAGTGAAGATGGCGCGGGCTAGGTGTACAAACGGACTTTACCGTTTTGTACCTCTATCGAAATAATGACGCTAAGCAGCGCGACTTTCTGGCGAATTTTCTTGCTCGCCAAGTCAGCGCGAAATCCCATTAGTCAACTGTAGAATCCCAAGTGCCCCACGTGCCCCACATGCCTCTCATCACGACCGAGATATTTCTCGGTCCTGCAAGACAAGACGATCGCTGACGCGATCGTGCGTTGTCCTGCGCGTGACGGAGCGATCATGTCGCTACAACCTGTATCGATCGTGCGCACTGTGCACGATCGAAACAGTGGCAACACACAAGCGCGAGTCTTGTGGTGCCACAAGCGCGTGTGTCAGGACCCCACGCGTGGGTCCTGACTTTCGCACCCTTGACTTACGCGAAAAAGGTTAAAGGGCCCGGTCAAAGTCTCGAGCCCAACTTCTTCCCGACACACTCAAAACTCACAACCAACATTCATGAAAAAACTCAACATTCATGAAACACAGAACATTCATAAAACACAGAACTTTCAAGAACGCACATGTTCGTTCATGAAAAAGACATGAACGTATATGAGCCGACATGAACAAACATGACTCGTCATGATCCGTCATGACCGAACATGATCCCACAGCAACAACACATGAAACAAAATGCGAAAACGAATGCACACAGAACACACACAAAATGCATGACATCATGCAGGCGGTTGGTTGCAGTGCAAAAATGGTTTTTTGCACCCAACAAACTCCCCCCCAAGCTGTCGCCTGCTTGCACTCCCTTTGCGTGAGCCTAGTTAAGGCTCATGCCGCACGACTTAGCACAGCGCCAGTGGGGTTCTTCAGCAAGCCGCTTCGTGAGAAAATCTGCCGGCTGCTGCTGTGTTTTCACATAGAGGGGCTGGATGGATCCCCTTTGCACCTCCTTGCGCAGCCAATGCCATTTGATCTGCATATGCTTGGTGAGCCCATGCAGCACAGCATTCTTGGACATTGCAATGGCACTGGAGTTGTCACAAAACAACGGTGTAGCTGTTTTCTGCTCATGTCCTATCTCTTCCAGTAGCTTCCTCAGCCAAATCAACTCCTTGGCTGCGTGATACATTGACATGTACTCTGTTTCAGCTGATGAACCCGCCGTTTCCACCTGTTCCTTAGACCTCCAGCTCACGGGCCTACCTCCAATCACGCACACATATCCTCCCACTGAGGACATGTCCTCCTTTTCCGAGGCCCATGTTGCATCAGCAAACCCCGTGAGGAATAGCTCCCTCTCCTTGAGCTGCTTCCCCTTCTCCTTGAGTACTTCTGCTCCCTTCTGCTTCATGTGAGCCACGGCTGAGTATTGAACTCCAACGGTGGGGTAGGAGCTAAGATACTGGATGATGCGGTCTGCTGCATCCACCTGCTCCTCGGTGGGATTTTGCACCACCCTGGCCAGCTACCCCCCAGCAAAGGAGACGCCTGGCCTGGTGTGTACCACTGCATAGAGCAAGCTCCCCACCATGGACTGAAAGCGAGTCTGCTCCCGCTGATCCACTCCTTCCTTCTCACCAGCTTTGATGAGTTTGAATCTGGATGGAAGAGGTGTGGTAATCTTCCTTCCGACATTTATCTCATACTTGCTCCCCATGTCGTTGATGTACTTCTCCTGGTGCAGCTTCACCCATCCATTGCTGACATCCCTCTCGATGTGCATTCCCAGGTAGTAGTTCGCCTCCCCCAGGGTCTTGCACTTGAAGTTTTGCACCAGTTTCCGCTGCACCTTCATCACCTCCTGCTTGCTGCTCCCGAACAGGAGGATGTCGTCCACATACACTAGGAACATGACGAGGCTCTCCTTCTCCCCCATGAGGAAAAGACCCTCATCACATGCACTCGCCCTGAATCCTATCTCCTCCAAGACCGAAGACAGCTTCTTGTACCAGCAGCGTGGTGCTTGTTTGCGGCCATAAACTGCTTTCTTCAGCTTGCACACACGCCCGGTGCCATCCTCATAACCTGGCGGCTGCGACATGAACACCTCCACATCTATCAGCCCATAGAGGAAAACTATAGTGATGTCCATCTGAACTATCACCCACCCACACACGGCTGCACCGGCGAGGAGAACACACAATGTTGGTGTCTTCACAGTTGCAGCAAAGGTCTCCTTGAAATCCTCCCTTTGTTTCTGTTGGTAACCCCTTCCCACCAGCCTGCTCTTGTAAACTGACACGGCTCCTTTGTTGTCAGTTTTAATCCTAGGAATCCAGCCACAGCTTATGGCTTTCTTCCCCTCCGGCAGTGGCACCAGCTCCCATGTGCCATTTTCCATTTGGCTGTTGTATTCA